TGAGTGCGCTAAGGTGGCTCTCCCAACTCTGCCATGTGAAAAACTGTTCTAAAAATATAGTAATGGGTGTGAATACAAGCAGTGTGCCAGAGAATTTGGGAGAGCTGTGAACAAGTTAAGAGACAGGAAGTTTAAACTGTACAAAAATCAGGTTTTAAAATCAGTAGTACTCCAGCATTATGATAACACAGCTGAAGGTGTAACTTTACGGTAGCGGGTCCGTCACCTTGTTGTTTCTATGGATATGTCATTGCTCTGCTTGGAATGTTCCGCAGTATGACATTAAACAGCTGAACTTTACATTTATTCAATTACAGATGGTTTTATTGCTCAAAAATTCCTAGAAAAACAGACATTCTGACTGTGAGCAGGGTCGCCTCTACAGAGATCTGACCTGTAACATGGTCTGCTTTGGTTTCCACAATGATAGAAAGGTTTAATGCCATACTGTGAAACATTCCAGACAAAGCAATAGCACCTCCATGGAGAAAAGCAGGTGATGGGCCCTCCGCTAGAAAAGTTACACAAGTTACACCTTTACGATAAAATAACACACATTTAAAGCACAATGCACTGACCTGCATCCTGCCCCATTATAAAATATATAGATTTTGTTCATGTTTGACCTTGATGATACACTGCGTCAAAACAAAACTGAAGAAAGCAGAAAAATTATGAATGAGACAGGCCGTCCTCTGCTGTGCACATCCTCGTGTGTGATCTGCGTGTGTGTGCATTGATCTGTGTGTGTGCGTTTGACTGTGTACTCATCTGTGTACATGTGTGTTTGTCTGTGTGTGTGTGTGTGTGTGTGTGTGTGTGTGTACTGATCTATGTGTGTGTGTTTGTGTGTGTACTGATCTGTGAATGTGTGTGTTTGAGTGTGTACTGATCTGTGTATGTGTACTGATATGTGTATGTGTGTGTTTGTGTGTGTACTGATCTGTGTGTGTGTTTGTCTCTATACTGATATGTGTGTGTGTGCACGCACACGTGTACTGATCTGTGATCTGTGTGTGTGTGGGTTTGTATGTGTACTGATCTGTGTGTGTGTGTGTGGGTTTATCTGTGTACTGATCTGTGTGTGTGTGTGTACTGGGGTGTGTGTGTGCATGTGTCTGTGTGTGCACGTGCGTGTACTGATCTGTGTGTGTGTGTGTACTGGGGTGTGTGTGTGCATGTGTCTGTGTGTGCACGTGCGTGTACTGATCTGTGTGTGTGTGTGGGTGTGGGTTTGTCTGTGTACTGATCTGTGTGTGTGTGTACTGATCTGCGTGTGTGCATGTGTCTGTGTGCGCACGTGAGTGTACTGATCTGTGCGTGTGTGTGTGTGCGTGCGCCTCCATCGATCCTTGGGTAAGAGCAGCCCTGTCTCCCACTGACCTACTTTCAGAGCCATCCAAAACAACAGGCACACAGCTAGTCCCTGTCCAGTCCCTCTCATCTGCCTTCAACATGTCCATCCTCTTGTGAACAGGAAGGGACCAGAGCACTTGGAAAGACACGGTGCACCTCGTTTCCACCATCAGCACCGGAACAGAGTCTGCCCATGCACTTTTCTCTGCTCATTATATTCACACTTAAGGACCCATACTTCTGACCTTTAAAGGGCCTATATTATGCTATTTTCTATAATGTTGCATCTTTATCAAAAACATACCTGGAGTTTAACACATAAATGCTGCATATTTAGGCTGAGTTCTTCTCTCAAAAGGAAAACACTGTGGTCCAGGTGGTAAAACAGGAAGCTCTCCGCTGTGTTTTTAAACTTCATACTCCTCCACTAGAATCGTCTGGATGATTTCAGCCCCGGATTTGCCAATCTACTGAACTAAAGGTAAAAGGTAGCTGTTAATGTGAAAACATGACATCATAAGGTGAAACAGAGCATTTTGAGCTTTGGAGGTTTTTGATGACCATGGTATAAAGCTCTAGCCTGATTCATCAGCCAGTTTTACTTCGTTTCACTTTATACAAACCATCTGACCTCACAGCCTTAAATTTCGCTCGACAGTAGGCGGGGTACTTTTTATCATTTAACCAATCTATGTAATGCGCCGCTAACGGGGCTAACTTGTATATTAAGCTTTTCCCAAATCCCGTAAGATGAAGGGCAATAACGTCTTTCCCCTTGATGAAATTCACCAAACATTCTCTTTATTCTGGCTTTAAATCCTCGATCTCGGGAATCACACTAAATATATCACTCTTCGCTGATTGGCTGGTGCCTGAACTTGCACTTCCGAGTTTTTGCGAACTGTCTATTGTATTTTGATTCCTGACCTAGTTGCTGGAGAGAAATTAAATTGAGGAGAGGGACTAGGTGGTGCCAGCCTGGCTACTAAAGCTCACAAGAATCCATGTTGTGTAATATGGGCCCTTTAACTGTCTTCTTGCATCATTCTTTTACTCAGAGTTGCACTTAAATTGATTTAGGCATCTTTGAGTAATCCTGCATGGTCTAGCATTCAAGGTTTGATGCTACATTTTTCTAATAATTGCACGGACAGACATAAGGGGTAGGTGAAAACAGGTATTTTCTGAGCACTCAAGCCCACAGTGCAAAACAGCATTCAAACATGCATGAACAAAATCTAAACACAACTTTAAGTAAGCTAATGATAAGGTAACACTGCTGTAAAGTTAAAATCTCATTACAGTTCATTTTGCATAATATGTCCCCTTTAAGCATTTGCATCACTTCCTCTGTCTTTGGTTTGGGAATTGAAGTTTCATAACTGCTCTCATAAACACTGGATTATTCTCAAATGTAGTACCATCTGTGTATTGCGAGTGCTGTGGGCTTTGGCATAGACTCCTTGGTTGTTTTCCTGATGCAAGAAATTGATCAACTTTTTAATTGGTTGGTTTAGATGCAGTAAAGACAGCATCTGTGCAGCATCCGGCGTTTATTAATTTTCCCATAAACACATTTGTTCTTGGGGTATTTCATTACAAAATCTTACAAAATAAATTATTATGTATTGATTCAACTGTGCTGTTTTTATCCAGTCCCAGATCTGTGGACAGCAGCACAGGCTCAATGTTTTCTTATTTGGATTCTCGTCTACTGTGACTGTACCAGGCTGAGATTTGGCAACAGAGCTACAGTGTGTGGGTTCTCTATTGATTTATGACACTCACTCATAGTTAGAAGACATAAACATGATAGAAACATGGAGTGATTGGACAACCCACGCTCCACACATGGGCTCTCCCTCAGGGCTTCGTAAACATAAGATTTAGGAGGAGGAAGAAGTAGGAAGATAATATAATAACACCTAAAATAAGGAAAGTGAATGACAAGAAGTTCCATTTACACTTAAAATTGTCTCTGGTGCATCAAGACTGCTGCCTTTTTACAAATGTATTTAAAGATCTATGTTATAATGTTGTTTCCTTATTCCAAACACATCTGGAGTTGTGTTTTCTTTCATTCACACAAACCCTCTATATATAGGCTGAGTTAGGCTAACAGAAAGCACTCAATATGCAAAGACTAATGATACTTTCCTAACATGTGTGAATGAAACACAACAGGTATGTTTTTGATGAGGTTACAGCATTCTAACATGGCTTAAAGCTCACAAGAGTCGGTTTTGTGTAATATGGGACCTTCTGAGAAAATTCTGATATTTTTCCCTGAAATTAAAATTGCACTGTGTAACATTTATGCTGGAGAGTATGCTGCCTTGTTGAAGATGTTGTTTTACCTGGAATGCTACACAATAGTAGCCTGATTCATCAGCTGATTTCAGGATCTGACCTCGCAGCGGTACGGTAGGCAGGTAATTTGTTGCACCAAATCCCGTAGGAAGAAGGGCAACAACACTTTTCCCCTTGATAAAATTCACCAAACATTCTCTTTGTTCTGGCTCTAAATCCTCGATCTCAGGAATCGTTGCCAACAGAGAATGTACGGCTTTGTCTACATCCATCTCGACCGCTTTGTTTACTGTTATGCTGTACCCCAAAAGTTTGACGTCATGTCTTCACAGCTCTTCGCTGATTGGCTGGTGCACGGTCTACAACTTCCAGGTTCTTTCAAACTGTCTAGTGTATTCCGATTCCTGACCTAGTTGCTGCGGAGAAATGAAACTGAGCGGAGGCACTAGGTGACACCAGCCTGGCTAAGACAATAGCACATTAAACATATGTAGATACCACTTATGTTACTGTTTTGATTGCTCAAAAATACCTTGAAAAACATACATTCCTACTACTGTGTACTGTGAGCAGCATTCCTTCTTGACAAATCAAACCTGTACCTTGGCCTGATGATGTAATCTGCTTTAGTGCTATACAATGGGACTTTCTTCCGTCCCCTACACTGCATGTAGGTTGCCTGTGTGTATGATTGGATTCAATACAGCAACTATGGGTAGCCATTATAGAAATACAATACAAACCCTATACACATTGTTATGCCTTCCAAGAACTTAACTGACTGTTTTCTGAGAATTGTGCCAAGGACACAGCCCACTCGGTCCTTGTTACCTAGGTCAGTGTTATCAGAGGTATAATACTCCCTATAATGGAAGCATAGCCAGACCCTAAACTTAACAAGACCTTAGATCAAATTTTTTGTGAGATATACTTCAGTTTTAACATGGAAACTGACAATCAAGACCCAGCAAATGTTCAATCTGCTGTCTATCAGCTCATCCCCAGGGACACCAGCTCTACCTATTCTTATATTTACCCCAAACAATTCAGGTGGAATCTGACTTTCCTGCATAGAGCTTGTTCCTACTTAAACTGAGAGTAGATCAGACACCAGAGGCCACAACTACAGACCCTTAGCTTCACAGAGTAGATCCATTCATTTGTGCTCCAAAGGGTTGAGAAACAGCTTGGGTTTGAATCAAAAGTCATTTTCGTTACAACATAATAGGTTGAAATGGTGAGGGCTTAAATCTAAAAGAAATTGAACACTGTTACTCCAAACAATTCATCCCAAAAACCCAAATCCCCAGCCTTTTTAATCACACTGTACATACCTGTTTGTAGGAGACATAGATGGGACGACTGAATACGATCCACTCCACCACCTTGCTGCAGGGCGGTGTGGTCAGAGAGCCAGTGTAGCGGTAGTAACTCCCCAGGGAGGAGGGCAGGAGATCCTTAAGCACAAATGGTTCCAAGAAGGTCTCTTTTTCTATTGGGGAAAAAGAGAGAGAGATAGAGAGGGGGGACTGATCAATACCACTGTACCCACAATACATCCAGCCATGCTTTGAACAGCCCCTGGAGCTCACCCAAGCGCCACACATAGGGCTTTATGCTATCGATTGCATTTGCATTGTGCCTGCCTCGTTCACTGTCCTCCGTATTGACAGACGTAATTGCGGTAGACACCTATAATTATAATGGGTGCTGTTGGGTGGCATAAACAATAGAATCAGCCGTGCACCTCGTGTCTCGACAGCCCAATGTTGACGCTGGAAAATTACTGGCTAACAATGTGTGCCTGGGAAAATGAAACTAAACAGCCATTAAAAAGCAGCAGTGATGTGAAACAGATGTTAGGCTCAAATAAACCCATTAGGGCCAGTTTATGTAGAGGTACAGGGTGGAGTGGTCAGCCTTACCACACATTATTAAAGGTTCTGTACCTGCTTTTTTCATTTAAAAGGTGAAAACAATATATAGTTCATTTTAAACTGTTTGCACTGGTCCAAACTTATTGCTGACTTTCCTAAGGCAAATTATTCAATAATTATTCCATGTAATGAGTGTATAAATGCTTTTCACAAATTTCAGAGACCAAAGCAAAATATATGAATGAATTGTATGAATTATACAATGGCATAATTTATCTTTTGGCAATAATGACTTAAGAGAGAAAGGACACTGCCCACTCAGCCCTTGTTACCTTGGTCAAAATCATAAGAGGTGTAATACTCCCTAAAAATGAAAGATACATTGCAGTACCATGCAAGTTGTTGTTACCTTGACATGTTTGCTCTGTTCGCTGTGACATTCTTATAAATTCATTGTTGTGAATAATTAGGAAGCTCTGAATATGCTAGAAAAGTGAGAAATAACTTAAAGCCACCACAAGCTGTTTAAAAGGAACTAGATCTGTTTTTCATGTCTTTTTGGTACTAATTTAATAGTTGTTTTTACATCATTTAAATGTTAAATATTTATTTACAAACTGTATGTTAATACAAAAGTTAATGACATATTATTATTTAACTGATATTAAACTGTACTGCTTATCACAATATGAACCACTCCTCACAGAATTTTTATAATAAAGCTGGTTAAGTTAATTCATATATTAGTAATACATAACTATAAGTATAGGGCACCTTATAATAAAGTTGGAACAGTACTATTTACAAATATTAATAAATGTTGTAACATTTATTAACAATAGCAGATATTTTACAGTGGGCCTCTCACACAAAGAGACGTCTAGTTGTTAACTATTAGCAAATATTAATGCGATATTAGCTAATAGTAATAGTTAATAATGCAAACAACTAATGTTTAGTTAATGATGAAAAAACTATTAACTTGTGCCAAACTGATATTTTAGTAACAATTAACAAATATTAACAAAGGTTTAGGTAATTACTAGTTTGCTATTTATTATGGCATCTTTTTTATAAAGTGTTACCAAAAAAGTGATACAGGGCCTTTAAAAGTAAAAGGTTAAGGTGTGTTCAGGCATTGTTCTATGTTGACAAAATGTTGAAATATTGCCTAGTTTGCAGGGTTTTGTGCTTTATAGTCTATTACATTTGTATAGATTTTGTTTTGTAGCGTTGCACTGCTCGATTTTTCCTGTCATTTCAGAGGATTCATTCAATAGTTATAATAGAAAATCAGCTGTCCTTGTTTATTTCTATTTTCAACATCCTCTTCTGCTGATGGGTTTATCACTTTACAATTGATTTTGTATTTTTGTAAATTGCCTACTTTACTCACAGTAAACTTAGATACAAGAATTTTTTTTTTCCTTCATGTTTTCCGGTGTTCTTATAAATGAGTGTATGAGAGTATTGTAAAAGGATGCACTTTGTGACTAAATTGAATTATAAAACTATATTGCATCAAACACAATAAAGGCCTGGTGATTTGTATATAATGCTCTGTGATGAGAGAGGAGCTGCTGTGCTCGGGCAGTCAGTCATGCTTTGTTATTTGAAAAGCTTTTCTTAAAAATAGGAATTAATTGATCCATCTTTTTCAGTTCCGATACTGAGTTCCAGAGGTGAGATCAAGTCGTTGTTTTGCAAGTCTCAAGTAAGTCTCAAGTCTTTGACGGCAAGTCCGAGTCAAGTCCCAAGTCAAAGAAGGCAAGTCCAAGTCGAGTCTCGAGTCACTGGCCCACAAGTCCAAGTCAAGTCTAAGTCGTCTGCTTTGAGCTTCAAGTTATTTCAAGCTTTCAAACCAAAGCAATTTATATGACTTTTAAACTAAGTTGTACTTTATATATGAGTATTTATAGAGTATATAAGAGTTGTAGAAATATTTTGACAAGATCTTAGTGAATCACCTGAATCTTACAGTCAGAATAGAGAGAATTTAGATTTAAAAGTGCTTCTCATGTCTTCTCAAGTCACAGGCCCCAAGTCGAGTCCCAAGTTTTAGTCCATTTTATCAAGTTAAATCTCAAGTCCTAAAAATAGTGACTCAAGTCTGACTCGAGTCCAAGTCATAACTATCAACTCCCAACCTCTGCTGAGTTCTATACTATATCTTTAAATATCTGCATATCAATACCCAATTTCAACTAATACTAATGCAAAGACTAAAAACATAAACTGCAACAACAAAAATAAAATTGATAAAACTAATCTAAATGTGTTATGTTGCTTTTACATAGTTGTTATCAGTGTATACTTTATCACAATAAGAAATAAAAATGGAAACATTATGGGTCTTAAATAGTCTTGTTGAATACATTTAAATGTCTAACCAGGATATTGGCTGAATTGATATTTGAAAGCCGATATCTGATCCCTACTAAAACTTCATGCATGTGAAAATAAGTGATATGACAAAAGATTTGTGAGAGATATAGAAAACACATTTGAATCACAGGTAATAATTGAAATACTTAGTTCCTCCTCAGGCATAAGCTTTACCACATTCATAAACAAATAATTCTTTCATTTAAATTTATTGTATCGTGTCAATACTATTAGTATTTTTGTAGGCACAGTTTAAAATGCAGGAGCTCATTCTTGTCACTTTGGAAGGAGCGGAGGAGGAGTGGGCTTTACCTGACTAGCCAGAACCACACACTGTGATAAAAGTGATTGACAGAGAGATGCATGGCCAGTTCGCATCAAAAACAAACATTGCGACTTATATACGTAAAAAAGGGGAAAAAATTAAAATAAAGGACTTAGAAACAGCGTTGATATTTTTACAGAATCAAGAATTGAAGCACTAAACTATTACTTATCCCTGGTAAAAGATGTTATTTTGTTCTGAATGTTACAAGAATGTTGAAGCGATGTCTTCCGTGTTTGAGAGACACATGCTACAAATTAGAAGCTTTGGTTGAATCATCTCAAATTTGGACTGATGTTTTTCACGCTCTATTGTCCAATTTCTACATTCTGTTCAAATCCTGAAGGGACTGGCTGGCCAGGCACGAGTGGGCTACTACATGGTTTCATCAAAGTCAGCTGACAGCAAATCTACAACAAGTCAAATGACCCCCACTTGAAACCTGCTAACACTTGTGCCACACATCTTTATGGGTCATGTAAGGCTGGTGGGATGTAGTTATAACACTGGCATTCACTTGTCACATCACCTGACTAGAGTTATACAGCTTGTTTTGTGTTTTGGTCACATATACAGACTTACAGACATCTCCAACTTAGCCCATACCAGTCAAAAGAATCAGTCATTGTTACATATTCTTTAACCCTCCTGCACGCCTCGATACATTTTTGTACATCTCAACTTTTCTTTTTTGCATAACTTAGACTATATTGCATCAAATCACGTCAGAATTGCCCAGTTTTTGTATTTTGTGATGTATTTTTAGTTTCTGTGTTTTATTTCAAGACCACATTATTTGAACGGTCTATAATCAAAATAGTCAAACCTGTGGTCTTTAGGTACATTTTTGTCCCATTGACTTCCATTCAAAATGTTTACTGGCATAACTTTGCGACTATATTTCTACTTTTTGATGTATTTTTCATTCTTTGGTGTTGAAAAGTTTTGCTTTAGTGTCGTTTAGAATTTTTTTATATTTTTCTTTTTACTGTGTATCTCCCTTTGCAAGATTATATCAGCAGAAATACATTTGTACATATTTGTCCACACTGAAGGCCCGAGACAAAGTTAAAATGATATGGTTGTGTTCGAGAGGAGCCCCCAGCCTCTGATTATCCCAACACAAACAAATTAAAATGACTTGAAAGATATAGATCAAATACATTTTTTTCATTTTTTTCATGCACATAAATTGATACTTTTGCTGTCAAAAAAGGCATTTAAGAGGTTAAAATTTGTGATTAGGGCAGAAGTAAATGAAGACATTGATATAGAAAAGTTGGACAAAAATCCATACTGCATAAGAATATTGTTTTTTTCTTTTCTGGTGTACATTTTTGTCACGAAGTAACACAGGTGTGATTATTTTAAAGGGGTGCACAAGGGTTAAAGGTGCACTGCGTAACATTAGTAGTGGAGGGTCCGCCACTTACTTGTCTCCATGGAAATGCTATTACTTTGTGTAGAATGTTCCACAGTATAAATTAAACCTATCTATCATCAAGGCTCTGTGGAGAGTTGCCCCTGTTCACAAAAGGAATGATGTATTTTTGAGCAATAGAAACACCCGTAATGAATAAATGATGAATATGTTTAATGTCATACTATGAAACATTCCAGGCGAAGCAATAACATCTCCATGGAGACAAGCAGTAAAGTTGCACAGTGCATCTTTAAAGAGTATTCTAATAGCATGATCATAACCATTTTTCTGGATGATGATAATAATAATTCTATTTGTCCAACATTTTAGTCAATCCAAGTAAATGTGTTTTACTCTTCATTATATGAGCCTCTAAAGACTCAGACAATCATCCGACTGCACATATTTTATCTGTGATCTATTTAAATAAATGCTGGTGAATTATTCATGTTAGAAAAGGCAGCTTCAGATCTCACAATTAG